TCTCTCTCTCTCTCTCTCTTGTCTCTCTCATCTCCCTTGCTCTTCTTCTCCACCTTCCAGGAGTCGGAAACTTGTGCAAAGTAGTGCTGGGTATCACAGGGGACTCCCACAAAGGGTGGAAATGAGAGAGAGTCCCGTATGACCCTGTTTGAAGTCCTCTCTAGTTTCACAAGTGCTCGTTTCCCTCAATAAAGGCAACTGGAGGGTCTATTGAGAATTAAAGGAGCCCCGGACGAGCCGCTGTCTTTTTTCTTTCTCAGCCTGACAATTTCCCCGCAGGGTTTGAAGGTAATGCTCCTCTCAATTTGAGCTTCTCTAGAACACCACAAACTGCAATGATCCTCTCAATTTGAGCTTCTCAAGAAGACCAAACTGGCCGGCGTTTGATGTGTTTGTTTTTTTGGTAGGGGCGAAAACTGCTACAGTACCAAATGTAGTGGTGAAAATAAGTGAATTGTAACACCGCGTACTTAGATGCGAATTGTTTTTGGGGGGTATTTTGGGGTTTGAATAATTTACGTGGGTGAGTGTTTGTTCCTGAAACACGCCAGTTGTTGAGTCTTTGTTCGACAGGTAGAAGGTTGGAGGGCGCCACTGGTAGGTCCTACTTCTTCACAATCCCTCTGTTGTTTCTTATTGTCTCTCTTACAATAATATTTTTCCAAGAACTAATATTGACAATGATTGTGCTGACGTGCTTCTCTTTACTCAAACAAAACAAACAAACAAACAAACAAGGTTAATTGTTCTGGTGTTTTCTCCTTTTCTCCCCGATTCTTTACTTTTCCTTTATGTATATTCTGTTTTACTGGCCACTTTGGTGTAGCGTTTAGGTGCTTCGCCGTAGCACGCAGGAGACCAGAGTGGGATCTCCTTGTGGGCAGAATGTTTTTCAAGTTTTCTCGGTCTTTCGACTCTGATGTATCCTTCTCAGGCAGGGTCGAAGCACACCTCCCAATTAATCTACAAATGTAAGTGGTATGGGGAAATAAAACACCTACATTAAAAATACATCCCTTTCAATTCTCAAGAGGCGAAGATATCTGTTTTTCTGTGTGCGGGTCAAAGAAATAACGATCGGACCTGAAACGACCACCCAAATTTTCTAGGAAGGTAGTGGTCATGTCCGATCTGTGGTCTTCTTGGACATTGTCACTATAAATAATTGAAGCAACGCAGGGAAGGGGGGATGGGGTGGTGGACAGTGGTTGTTTGTAGATGTGATTGTCTTGTCTTGGACAGGCGATCGTTAGAACAGGTTCCTATCTATCTATCTATCTATCTATCTATCTATCTATCTATCTATCTATCTATCTATCTATCTATCTATATCTCTCTCTATCTATCGTTCTATCTATCTATCTATCTATCTATCTATCTATCTATCTATCTATCTATCTATCGTTCTGTCTATCTATCTATCTATCTATCTATCTATCTATCTATCTATCTATCTATCTATCTATCTATAGAAGGGGTTCTGTTGGCCCTACTCGTCAGTGTTAGCTAACACTGACTGAGTAGTATAGTATACCTTCCAGGAATCGAAAGCATGCCTTATGTGTGCAGCGGAAAAAAGCCTCAGTGTAAATCACAAACGATGGAGAAACATTACTCACAAAAGAAGGATTGTTATGCTCATACATTGGGCTAGTAAGGTGCGGCTGTTTTATTATGTTTTGTTGAGTGGGTTATCAGCGTGATCGCTTACAGTCTAAACACAAGGTTTCCCAACAATCCGAATTGAAAGAACGTTGTAAAATAAACTTTCTTCAGAACGTTTAATTGACTCTTGACAACACTCCTATCGCTACTACGAGATCATATTTTTGGCGGAAACCTACGTTTCTGTAAAGTTATGCACGGACGACAATAAAGGGCAGTTTGTTACAAGTTACAAGCGTATGTATAACGGCCATTGCGCTTTCCTGTTTGAGATACTAATATTGTTGTATATCATCGAGGATCAGTTAACGTCTGAACGGCTCATGAGGCTCTCAAGTGCGGTTGAAGCGTGCAGTCCGCCTACCCCCCAACGCGACGTAAGAGATACAAAAACCGCAGAACAGATGTTGGCGTAGCCGAGAGAAAGTTGCCACCAGTGCAATAGTCTGCTTTATTATTGCTGGTTTTGTTTCGCTTCGTTTTGTTTTGGTTGTTGTTTTTCAAAGAACTCAGCCGTATTATTAGATGCAATGGCATAGAACGTATTGAGGGACAGAGAACGGAGGTTTTTAAATTCAATTTCCAAAATTTGTAAAAAGTTAGAAATCAGGGATTCATGGAGGGAACATATCCCCTTTATACTTCCAATAGGTTGGAAGGGTATACAGAAGCATACTCAAAGGCACCGTGCGCACACACACACACACACACACACACACACACACACACACTCACACAAACACACACACATACACACATGCAAACACAAGTGTGCGCACGCGCACACACGTCCACACACACACGCACACGCATGCAAGCCCACACGCGCATGCGCGCGCGCACACACACACACACACACACACACTATGTATGTATATATATAAATCATTAATTAGATTTCCAATAAGAAGAAGAAGAAGAGGAAGAAGAAGAAGGGGGAGGAGAAGGTGAATGATAATAATAATATTATTGTCATTATTATAATAGTAATGACAGTAATCATGATAATAATAACGCTATGCGCTTTCCCTCAAACGACTCCACTAGTCTGCCAGGCCCAGGTTTACGTTCTCAGCAGGTGTGTTTTATCTGCGCAGTTATGCCCTTCGATCTCTAGCGTGATGAGTAACGAGTTTGCTATGTCAGCATTATGTAAGGTAAGGTAGGCTAGAGCATTAAAACAAAAACAAACAAACAACCCCCCACCCCCCCAAAACCAACGAAAAAAAATAGTAATAATAAAAAGCCCAACAAAACCAACAGACCAACAAACAATAAAAGGGGGCTCTCGTGGCCTAGAGGTTAAGGTGTTGGCCTCTCATTCAAAGGTCCCGGGTTCGAATCCGGGTAGCGACCAAAAAATTTTCTT